TACCGTTCTGCCTGCTGGCTTATCAAATGGGCAAAGCCAACATCTTTCAGGACTCATATGTAGACATTTTAGTCTCTCTTCCAGTTAGACGGGGCCACACCACCGAGTTCTAGCTACTGGAATAGCAGCAGCAATGGTGTGAAGAACTTCCATTCCTGCACCATGAAAACCTCCCATGTGTGACTCCCATATTCCTTTTTCTTTTGTCAGTTCAGTGGCGATGAACACAGATGCCACACATTTAAGATGGCAGAGTCAAAATGTGGACAGGCGTGGATCCCTGTGTCAGGGTTTGGAGGAGATACCCTGCTTGGGATCTTATAGGAGCAGTACATACATATCTCTTGTGTTTGTGCCATCACACACTTTTGCTTTGTGTGTCACAAAGCTTAAAATACGTCATATCTTAACAATTAGACTTCCCATATTAAAAGCCAATAAGAAACAACTGCTTCTCATGTAAACATAAGGAATGACCAGAGTCCTCACTTGTCCAAACTTGAAAGTGTTAACACATTCTAATTTGCAAATCAAAAGAGAATATTTAAAAGTAAAGTCAAAACATTCTCCCCTCACCTAGAATTTATGGTCAGAAGGTGATTAAGAGCCAGTACCCTGAAATAAGACTGCCTAGATTCACAGAATAGCATGCCACTTATTAGCTGTGATTTCTTCATTTCTTTGTTACTCACTCTGCTCCATTTGTTCTTGAAGGCTTTCTATACAAAACTTTTTTTTTTTTAAGATTTACTTATTTATGCATACAGAACTGGGGTACAAGCCAGAGGTACAGGGCAGTGAGAGGACTCACCAGAGACAGAGTGGGAAGCAGAACAGGCTGACTAATAAAATACACTGCCAAGGGGAGCAGAGGATGGGTCAGGAGAGGTCTACTTTGCCATGTGGATCACCTCTGGGGCGGGGATTGAACTCATGCTGAAGTGGCTTTAGCTTCTTAGCGCTGTGCTTTAACCCACTGCGCCACCGGGTAGGGCCCACTATACAAAACTTTTAACCCACAAAATTCTCCTCCACGAATTTTGCCAATTGTCCATCTACCCAACAAAGCCAGCAATAAAGTCACTGAGCTCTGCTTACAGTAACAAAAGACTAGAAACACTCCATCACTAAAGAGCTGGTTGAAGATAACATGATGTCCCTGTGTCGTGAAATATTACACAGCTGTCAAAAAGATCACGGCAGCTTCATATATTCAATAGAATGATCATTAATATGAACTGCTAAGTGAAAAACATTTTAAGAAGCATATGGGACACATCCTGTACTATATGTTACCATTTGTGTAAAGAGAATGAAGGTACCTATATTTACAAACTTATATATGCATAAACTGGCTTAGGAACAATGTACAAGTAACTACAGCTGCTTTTGAGAGCGGCCTGGAGTCAAGGGTAAAAGGGGAAATCTTTGGGTTTCTGGAGCCAATTTCAATTTATAGAGGTGAGGTTTCCCACACAACCAACAAGCAATTCTTGGACACCAGCAGACATCTGAGAATTCAACTCATTCTGATACCATTTATATGACCTTCAGGTTCCCACAAGGGTTCAGTCCTACAGGATGACAAGTGACTCCTCACGCCCCCATCCAGATATACTACCTATATTTCCCAATGCCTGGGTATAAATCTGAGGTTCCCATGGTTCTTTGGGGTCTAGTAATTTGTTAGAACGACTCAAAGAACTCCAGGAAACATTTTACTTACTAGATTACTGATTTACTACTGTATAAGGATATGACTCAGGCACAGCCAGAAGCACAGGGCAGGGACAGGGAAAGTCAGAGCCTCCATGCCTTCTGAGAGCCCCACTTTCCCAGCCCCTCCATGTGGTCACCAACTCAGATGCTCTCTGAACCCCATCCTTTTTGGGGGTTTTATGGAGGCTTCATTAAGCAAGTATGATTGATTAAATCACCGACCACTGGCAATCAATTCAGCCTCCAACCCCTTCCCTCCAATTCCAACCTCCCAATTACAAGTTTGGTTCCCCAAGGAACCATCCATGGGGGATGGGAGAGCCTAGGGACATTCTAAAAGTTTAACATGACAAAGGACAACTTAGCTTCTTTCACCACTTCAGAAATTCCAGAGGGATTTAGAAGCTCCATGCTAGTAAAGGAAGACCAAAAAGTTTCTGCTTATAAATCACTATAACCACAAGAATATGTAGTTCTCCATATCACTTCGGATTATTTGAAGTTTTGTTATCATATACTAATACATCTTTTCTTAAACTTTTAAAACTGCTTGAATATTTAAAACACATACACATTCCTGGAACAAATATGGACACTCAGTGTTTTTTAAATAAAAGATGATGTCTGGAGAGCAGCTACAGTCTATGGGACCAGCACGTGCGATCGTCAAGAGTCCCAGTGTACCCAGGAGCTGGGTTCAGCATCACCACACTCCAGCTGGGTGACCCTGGGCAAGTGACCCCACCTCTCTGTGCTCCTCTACCAAGGGAGGTTAGTCAGAGCACTTACTCAAGGATGGAGAGTTAAATGGCCAGCAGGTTTAATCAGCCACACCTCTTCCAGTTCTCCAGGAGAAAACAGCTTGGTTTTTATTATACAAATGCTACATACACCAACAGTGTCTATTTAGGGAACAGGTATATTTACATCTCCAAACATAACATAACATTTTAAACAAAAGGCTGTGCACAAAGTCTCAAATTACATTGGAATACTAGCTACACTAGACAGAGCCAGGAAGAAGTGGAGATGGGGAATATCATTAAGGGGGGTGGGTGTCTGCAGTAAGTTGCTACACACAAGCAACTGTGTTAACACACACAAAGCAACTGTGTGCAAAGATCCCTACAAGAAGAGAGGCAATCTAGAAGTGAGGCTTTCTGCATTTCACAGTTAACAGGACTGACAGTTCATGACTTAGGGTGTTTCCTTCTTTCATTATGCTTTTGGAAAATTGGAGGGGCTCAGGGTCATGGTAAGTAGCTTTCCCCAGGAAACAATAAGCTGTAGGGCACTGGTTAGTCTTTTCATGCAGAACATGCATTTCAGTAATGGATTGCTGATGTGATATGGGAGATGCTTTAGTCAAAAAATACTATACAAAGCACAAAATGTATTTGCGATGGCAGCTGTATCCAGGGATTAAAAAAAAACAAAGCATGAGTACAAACCCAAAGCTACAGAGAAGTAAGAAGGAGAACCCTCTCTCTCTCTCCTCGTCCGGCTATCTAGAATGTTGCCCCAGAGAAGGTGATGGGCTAATTACAAGGTTGTAGGAAGTGGTTTGAAATAATTTGATTGTGAGATAATTTTTATAATTTCAGAATGATAATTAAAGGGATGAACTTTTCTTAATCATCCAGATGGAGAGCCTTAGCCATGGGGATGAGCCAGGATGAGTAAACACTTCATTTGATGTCTGCTCACATTTCTTGTGAGAACAGGATCACTGGTATCTGAGAGTTCCTTGAAAAGCCACTACACTGAGGTTTTCACAAGCCGGTGATTCCAACTCAAGCAGCCCTTCACTCTGAAAGTGTTGGAGCTGGCTGGCAGGGGAGCAAACTCAGAAACACACCACAATGAGACTTGACCTTCAGTCCTCTGCTCAGCACACACCAACTTCAGTTTCATGCTTCAGTCTTTGTTATAACAGTCCAAGGATATGTAAAACAAACCCCCTGTCCCAACTCTTCCAAATTTCTCCGTGCTTTTAGGGCAGACTCTAAGGACTTCTCAAAGGCCACCCCTGGTTAGACCAACTCCCCAGCTTTGGCAAAGCAGATGTGCTCAGCCATTGTTGCTTCAAATCCAAGAGGCACAGCAGTGGCTCTGGCCTTTCCATGCGGCCTCACAGGGCCAGAGAATACAGGACCGATTGACGAAAATGAAATGGGAAGTTCCTAGGCTTCCTCATATTTTATACCCAACCACAAACCATAGGACTCCAACAGTCAAGAATTACCTGGAAGGAAGAAAATCTGTCTGAGTTACTAGTGACTAACTGGCCGCTTCTCCAGGCCCCATGTCACAGAAGTCAGTTGAGGACCAACCCTCATTTTTGTCACTAGCAATGCCTCTATTGGAGCTTATTCTTACTGGAACAGATTGCCAGTTAGCACGGGCCACGGTAAACCCCTCAAACATTCCCGGAGTTTCAGGAAAGGCCTCGAGTCAAGTTCTTACCAACAAGCCATGTACTGTATCTTAATACTTCTAAGGCCTGGAAGGTTCAGGAGTGACTACCGATTTCTAGCCCTGAACTCCCCCCCCACCCCCCAGCAAGAACAGCTCGCGATTCATACACATCTCTGGACCATGCCCTCTGCCCACCCACCCCTGCGCAGTCAAAGTCCACCTCACACAGGTGGGGGTGAGCTCAGAGCCGCCAGGCGCCTGGCGCCTGGCGCCCTTCTACCTGGCGCTTTCATTTTCGAATTGATGTTCCTGAACTTCAGGAGTACGAGAACGGAGCCTGAGGACCCGGCAAGAGGTGGTCCCCAGGGACATCCGAGGTCATAAACCGCTGTTTTCTGGCACTTTCTCCCTGCTTTAGGCGAGGAGATAGAAGGAAGCGCCCTCCTCAGTCCCAGCCAGGGCGCCCCTGAGAGCCAGGTAAAGCCCCGAAGCTCGAGGTGTGCCACCTCGGGCAGGTTCCCAGGAGCATTTTTTTTCTTCAGTTCTTCTCCGTCAGCCCCCGCTCAGGTCCGGGACCGCCGGGTTCCGGGCTCGGAGACACTCCCACGTGTCGCGGTTTGCGCCCAGGGCGGGTCAGTGGGAATCCAGGAAGGGACGGTCACCTTGCCCGGCCAGGCTACCGCGCCCGACGCGGCGCGCCCAGAGCCGGGCGGCCCCGGGGATCCTGCGCCACCCCGACTGCGCGGCCCGGGGACCCCACCCTCCTGCTCTGCAGCCTTCGCACGCTGAGTCTTTTCGGCCGCCCTGGGTCTGGCCCGCGGTCTCCGCCTCTCGGCGCCGACCTCCCGCAGCGCCGCACTCACCCTTTGCGTGTGGTAGGCGCGCGGCGCCCAGCAGCAGGGTCCCCAGCAGTGCGATCGTGGCCCCGCAGTTCAGACGGGCCATGGCTCGGGGGCGCCTCGGCCTCGGCGGGGACGGAGACTGCGGGCCGGTGTCTCCGAGCGGCGGCCGCGGGCGCCCGAGCCTGGCACCGGCAGCGCTGCGCTGCGCTCCGCCCCGGCTGGCTCACCTGCGCGGGCGACCAGCGCGGCTCCGCCCTGCGCCGCGGGAGCTCGAGCTGGCCGGGCCAGTCCCCTCGTCTCTCCCTCCTCCCCTTCCTGCCTCTGCACCCGCCTCTCACGTCGAGGGTGCTGGAACTTGTCGCCACCTTTCTGGGCTAGTCCTCCCGCTCAAGGCTGAGAACAATCGGGCGTTTCTGTCAGGCTTCCCTGGGGGAAGCCTGCTCGCCGTCTTTTTGCTGTCGCTGTCCGGGAGATGACGGGCACCGCGTTGAGCCCCGTCTGCGCGGGAATCCTTTCTGTGGCTCTCCCACCCGCGGGCCTCCCCTGTGCTCTCTGCTCTGCGCCTTGGGCTAGAGGCTCCCTGGGCTTGAAAGCCTGTGCCCCAGCAGCCCCAGGAGGGACGGCCAGCCCATGGCAGACCCCAGGCAAGCACCTGAGGTTTTTCCACATCACTGAGGAAAATTCACAAACTTGCTGAATTTTGCAACCTGCCTGCCCACAGTCGCCAGGCCAGTAACTTAGAGGCCGTTTGAACAGCACCGAAGTTTCCTCATACGGAGTCACTTTGTTAAAATTTTGAAGGAGGAAGGAGTCACTTTGTTAAAATTTTGAAGGAGGAAGGAGATAGTAAACGGAGCTGAAAAGGGCCGACGGAAGAAACCCAAGCGGGTTCAGGGGCCCCTTTCCTGACTTGAATGTGCAATAAGTGAGGCTGTGGGATCTGGAGAACTGGTCTCCTGATAGCATCCCTTGCCTGACAACCCATCTGGCGTCTGGGGGCTAAGATGTCTGGAGGTAATGTCTTGGTTTTGGGAGTGGAGAGTGGAGTGGACTGCACACTGCATTGCCAAGGTGTGGAAGGGTCTTTATGAACGTGCTGAATGGAAGGAGTCGGTTTTTAGGTTATTTATGAACTGGAAAGAAATCCAGGCAGCCTCAGTCTGTTGTCAGAGAAAATGATAGAGTGAAGGGGGAATTTTAAAACAGACTGCTCCGTTTTATTTTGACCCTTCCTGAGGCACTACAAAACCTGCAAAACAAGTATTCCAACAAAGACAAAAGTCTGCAGGAGTGGGGAAAACTGAGAGAAGACAACAGCACAATCCACTAGGAGCCTGGGCAGCCGATGGACAGGGTATAACTGTCTGAAGAGCCTGGAGAGAACGGAACTGTAAGTCAGTAGTAAGGAAAAGAGAAATAGTGTGATTTTGACTGTGGGATTTCCAGCAACAATAACAACAAACCTTAGGAGCTGACTGGTAGCACAAAGTATTCTGGAACTAGAGAATGATGGAGGACATAAAAGAAGAAAGCCTGCCAGAAAGTTGCCTGAGAAGTACTATAGTTAGAGCTTTGAACACGATCTCTATACCTCTTGGTTGGGCAGTGACCCTCCTTCACCCCAGCAGAAGTCTAAAGTGTTTTCTGGAGAGATGAAGTGAGGGAAGAGAGCGGAGGCGAGGAGGCATGGCTGACAGCCCAGGAAACAGTCTGGGATATAGGTAGATGAAGGGAGCACAAGCATTTTGAATGCTGAGCTCTCCAGCTGCCTGGCCCACTTGTGCCATGTCCCCTTCTCTCCCCATCCTCCATCACCCCCAGCTGTTACCAAGAGACCTTTACCACCCTTGTGTTCTAGAAATGGAAACTCTTGGAGAATCTGACCAGCCCAAGAGGAAAGCCTTAAAGACATGTGCGTTTTATCTTCCCTGCTCCACCATCAAGAGTCTAATAGGTCCCTACCATGAGCCCTACTCACTTAACTTTTAATCTCTCCTTTTTAAATGTTTTGGGATTTCAAGACTGAGGAAAGGCAGGCTAACATGAAAGACAGGCGTACTACTAACTCAACCAACAAGCCAATCAGAAAAACAAACAAGCAAAGTCCAAACCCACAGGAAAGAGACTATAGAAGGAGAAGAAACCAAAAGCAAGCAATTGCTAACTTCCTTAGCCAACAGACATCATTGCATCTGTGAAGCAGGAACAGGCTATAAAAAAGAGAATATTCAGGGGACCACAAAAGAATTTTTGGGCATTTTAAAAAAGTATAGAAATAAAAAATCAGCCTAAGGGTTAAAAGATCTCCCAAAAAGTAGGGAAGAAAGACAAAGAGATTTTAAAAAATAGCTAAAAGTTAAGAAAATGGTCCTGTTCAGGAGATCCAGCATCTAAATAATGAATTTCCCAGAAAGAGAGAGTAGATGACGCAAAGAAGACATCACCATGGCACAACCCAGAACTCCCCAGATCCGAACAGCATGTGCTTCTAGGTCCAGACTCATGGAGTGACTAACACAATGGATAAAATAGGCCCACATCAAGGTCCATTAGTGAAATTTCAAAAGTCCATGCACAATGAGAAAATCCCATGGCTTTCGGAGACCAGTAATGGGTCTCAATCAAAGAGAGCAAATCAAAATGCCTTTGTATTTCTCAACAGCAGTGCTAGAAACTTGGAAGATCATGAAGCAACACTATCAAAACACTGAAGGAAAGTAATTTCCAGCTTCGAATACTATCCCAACCAATCCACCAACTGATGGGTGAGGTACTTTTAGACATCTAAGATATAAAACAAAAAGGCAACAACAGCTTAAAAAAAATCATACTCAGGCACACACTCCAATATACTTTTTTTCTGGGAAGATACTGAAGGTGTTTTCTTAAAATTGTGTGAAACACAGAGAGCAGTGAATACAGGTTTGTGGGGTTAGATTGCATCATCTTAAAAAAAAATGATACAGTCACAAGGGGAAAATCAGGTATGAAAAATGATTATTTATGATGTTGAAAGAAATGACAATCTTGAAAAAAATGAAAATAGCACAACTGTCGCAATTTCCAGAAAAATAGCATGACTATCTACTGTTAAGCTCCTGGTACCATTCTGTATTATTCATACGTGCTCATCACTTTACAACCTTGGTGAGTGCTATTTCTTCTGGAACTGCCAAGCTGCATCATGACAGGATGCTCAGATTAGTTCAGATGCGAGCTTGATTTGTCAAGATGCATAAAACATGAATTCATGCACAGAAATAATGTTGCTATAACATAGTATTTCTCAAATATAGGAATTACTGTAAAATCTGCTCATGTGGTTTCTATTAAAGAACAAAATAGCACGTCATTTATAATTGTAAATATTGCATTTCTGACAGGAAAAAACCTTCCACTTTTGATAAGGTGTGATGAAAACTGAATATTTTGTTTCAAAATGTTTGTTTTGGTAATGGCAAAGACCTTCCACAGAGGAGCTTTTGGGTCTGTACAGGTCAGACTTGATACCTCTGCCCGCACTATCCACAGGTTTCTGGTGGTGGGCGCCGTAGGCCAGCCTCTTCCTTAGAACCCACCTGCATCTTTTGGTCGCCTCACTGGTGAGTCAGCTATTGAGGGAGGAGTGGTCCTAGAAGCCACTCTGACTTTGTGAGGGCAAGTGAGGGCTCCTGCCCAAGAAAGTGACCGGATTTTTCTCTCCACCAACCAATTCAATGCACCTTCAACCCTGCTTCTTCAGATCCCAAAGGGCAACAGCCATTAGTGCATGGCAGGAGGAAGCCTGTGATGCATGTTTGCAGTTGAAATACATGCCTTTGCAAATTTTACCAAAAAATGATGTATCCATATGAGCTCAGAGGGTCTATACAGTGACGTCTGAGCTTTCTCAACTTCAGGATATATTTGCTTTGGGCCGGGGAAGCACATGATCCAGCCAGAGGGAGAGACAGCACTCCCAGGATGACATGCTCCAAGCTTAGAGAGCCAGACCAGAAGGAATAGAGTTGTCAAACCTATGGGCAAGGGTGGTGGGAGTCTCCCTGCGTGAACAGTGTAATCAAGTGGAGCTGTTATTTTTGTTACTCTTCCACACCCAAACACTACCGGTGTTGGGAAGCATGGTGCCCATCCTGCACCTGACTGCACCTGGGCTCTCTGTGTGTGCCCCAGCCACACCAGTAGAGCAACCAGAGACAGCGCCTGCACCCCGAGCGGCACCCCAGTGCTGCGTCTGCTTGCATGTTTACCTGAGGGAAGAGTGGACTTCTTTCTCTCTCTTTTTTAAAGATTTATTTATTTATGCACACAGATCTGGAGTACAGGCCAGAGGTGCAGGGACAGTGAGAGGATTCACCAAAGACAGAGTGGGACGCAGAACAGGCAGATGGATGAAGTATACTGATGAGGGAGCAGCGGGCGGGTCCTGAGAGGTCTGCTGCGCCCTGTGGGTCAGCTGCCTGGGCAGGAGGGTGGCAGGGATCAAACTCATGCTAAAGTGGCTTTAGCTTGGTAGTGCTGTGCTTTAACCTGCTGCATCACCAGGGAGGGCCCCGACTTCTCTCTTTTTAAGCTTCTGTGATTTGGGGCTCCTATGACTTGTAACTGAACCTTTTCTAATGCAGGCTTAAGAGATGACGGGTAAAAAGGCCCATGTGATTTACTGCAGAAAAGAACTTGACCGAAATGGCAAGACTGGCTCAGCCACGATGAGCGTGGATTGTGCTGGATTCCAGTACAGGCTCTGCAGCTTGCCGGCTTGTGTAACTGTGTACACCTCAGTAGGCTCGCTCATAAACCGGGGCTAGGAAGGGCACCGTCCTTCGCTGCCCTTCACAGAGCGTTGTGAAATCTAATGAGCTAATAAACATACATTTAGCACAGTGATTGGCACGGTAGTAAAACGCTGCTGAGATTGGCTTTGCCAAAGAGGTCAGAGTGAAAGGAGTGGGTGTCAGGTGGTGGCGGTGGCAGCAGGGAGGTGCAGGGTAAGTTCTGGAAAGAGAAGTCTGGAGACAGTCTCTAGGATCTTATTGAAGCACAGCTGTGCCAGCTCCTCAAGGCAGGAAGTTGTCTCTGCTTTACTCATCTGGACGTCCCTGGTGTGGAGAACAGTGGATGGTACATCATCAGGGCTCAACAGATAGCTGGGGAATGAATGGATCGGTCTAGCCAATGACTGTGAATCCCCTGTGAG